TCATCTTCGCTGATTAAATCCCTCGAAACTCTCGGGGATAGTGTCCTTGCTCCAAAAATGAATTTGATGAAACGGCAGCGATCGTATTATAAATTTGAAAGAAGCTCTATTCTGTACGATAAAGACATTGAATGTCTAGAATCGAAAGAGTGCAACAGCAAATAGATTTTCATGCGTCTATTGAAATTTTGAAATCATCGCGCAGAGAAATAGGATATTAAAATTACGCGATTCATCGCGAAAGTCGCATTCTTATCCATTTTCGAAAATTACAAATTTTTATTGTGTAACTCTGAACATAAATTTTGCTAACATGTCACATGTTTTCGTAAAGATGTTGCCAAAAAAAGTTATATTATATTTTTTATATGAATATTTTATATTATATCATATCATATATTTTTATATTAATATTTTATATTTTATCATATCATATATTTTTATATTAATATTTTATATTTTACCATATCATATATTTTATATTAATTATATTAATTATATTATATTTTTATATTAATATTTTATATTATATCATATCATATATTTTTATATTAATTATATTAATTATACTATATTTTTATAATAATATTTTTTATTATATCACATTATATATTTATATCAATTATATATTTTATATTTTATATATATCCTTATATATCTATTTTATAATAATATGCATTATATTAATTATGTATCTCATATATGTATTATATATTAATTATACATTTATATTAATTAAATTATGTTTCTTTGACCCAAGACAAATAAAAAGCTTGTGCTCTTTAATAAAATAAAAGCAAACATTTTACATTTTTATTGTCTGACACAAGTTTCGTAAGTGCTTCACTACTTAATCCCATTAAAGAAAGGGAAAGTCAAGTTTTCAACGAAACAGTCGGGGAGAACGAAATTCCTGCCATGAACACCGCCTCGATTCGAAACATTCGTACGAAGATCGTACGATGTACGAAATAGCTCCTCTTTCGCCAACAAGTCCGCGCGTTATTGCGTCCGCAGGAATGTTGCGCGGGAAATTGCAAATGGCGAAATGCAAGTAGTGGCTCAGAAATGAATGCAGCACAGAACATTAGGATTTGATCGTGAAATCACATTTCCCTATTTTCCATGTACTTCCCTCTCTCTCTCTCTCTCTCTCTCTCTCTCTCTCTCTCTCTCTCTCTCTCTCTCTCTCTCTCTCTCTCTCTCGTCCACTATGTCTTGGAATTCGTACAAGTGTGCGGGATGCTTGGTACGAGCACGGGTCGCGCATTTCATGCGTAATGGAAGCCATTCCGAGCCGGAAGACTCTCGGATTCGGGGTTTACTGGTGTAAAGCGATTTTACGGCCGATACCAGTGATAGATAAATCTTGGGGATGCGAGCGGAATGTTGCGGAATGAATATAGTATGGGATCTGACACCGCGATCCGTTAATTCAATTATCATAGCTCAACTCGTTGCCAAGGACCGTTGTCAAGAATCTTACAGCAACTTTAACGTTTAGCGTGGCGTAATAATTTTATTCTGTTCTCCGCTGTACTACGAAATTTACGTAAGCTTTTCTAGGACAATTATTATTGGCTATTATTGATAATAATATTAATAATAATGATTATTATTATTAATAATAAACTATTATTAATAATTAATAATAAACTATTATTAATAATAATATTAATAATATTAACGCTATAATAAATGTCATGATGATATTAACGTTATAATAATATTAGGATAATTAACACTATAATATTATGATATATTACACTTTCTTGGCGGGTTGTTTCCCATATAATGTTTCTATTTTGTGTAATTTCAAAAAAAAAAATCTTTTCTTTTTCTTTAATTCTTATTCTTCAATTTTTAAGAAATGTTATTTATATAGAAACTATCATTATGGAAGTCTCAAGATATAATAATTGTACGATTTTGTTGTTTCGATATTTTTATATTTTTCTTCATTTATACTTTTGAGTAACGAAAGTACATCATGAAAGTATTAATATATTTTTATATTGTATAATATATTATTATAATTAATTATTATATAATGATATTAATATTATTTATAATTAAATTGTATATAATAATATATTATTGTATAATATTGTATATTATATATAAAAAATGTATTATAAAATATATATAATATATTATTACATATATGAAAATTATATATTATAATATTAATATTATTTATAATTAAATTATATATAATAATATATTATTGTATAATATTGTATAATATACTAATCATTTAGAGTGACCTACACGATATAAAAATCCAATTCCTAGTATACCATAAATTATTCTCCCAAATTACCAAAAAAAAAAAAAACAAATCTTCTTTCCACTTTCATTTACTTTCAACTCGAAAAATTAAGCCAATCGAAACTTGGCAAAATTAAGGCAAGAGTGTAAATTTGAAAATAATGAGAAAAATCGGAGTATATTTCCAGTTAAAGTGCCAATGGAGTGTGAAAGCTGTTCTAAAAGAACTTCTGAATAATGTTTCGTGATACAAGAGTGAATGTAAGAACGAAAGAATTGTTCCTAGAAAGCACAGTTCCTAGAAAAGCTGTTCTTTGAAGTTTCATGCGAACGATTTATCTGGCCTGACCCGCTGGTTACCTATTTCCAATGTTGTAACTTCGTCAGCTGTGTGAATTTCTTTTTAGAAAAATTCCTTCGCCACGCGTGCGAAATTCAAAACGGAAAAATCAAAGAGGACAGGAAGGGAAAACGGCGTTTCGACTTTTGAAACGTGTGCGTAATGTTGCAAAATGCGAATGAAATTGGACACACGTACGCATGTGAATGTAGAGTGGCCAATTTCAAATCTGTTTGATGCTATTAATTAATTACTTTCGATGTTGGTCGTTTTTTTCTAAAATCAACGAATTAATTATTATATTATAATATTAATATTATTTATAATTAAATTATATATAATGATATATTATTGTACTTAATTATACAATAATATATTGTTAGTGTAGATTACTCTGAGTGATTAATTATACAACAATAACTTACTACAATAATACTTAATTATACAATAATATATTATTAGTGTAGGTTACTCTGAGTGATTAATATATTATACAATAATATATTTTTATATTAATATTTTATATTATATCATATCATATATTTTTATCACTCAGAGTAACCTACACTAATAATATAAAAATATAATATATTATTGTATTAATATAAAAATGTAATATATTATTGTATAATATTGTATAATATATTAATCACTCAGAATACACGATATAAAAATCCAATTCCTAGTATATCATAAATTATTCTCCAAATTACCAAAAAAAAAAAAAAGAAAAAAAAAAGAAAGAAATCTTTTGTTGAAATGTTTTTGTTTTCTACAAATGATCTTTTATTGATTTCTTAATCTAAATTTGTCAACAATGCAGAAATTTGACAAATATTCCAATGTCTGACAAAACATCAGAGGAATCATTTTCATTTATTTACGCATTTAGAATATCTTCTCTAAGTCTGCTTAATAAATCAACTGATTGTCTCACAGTAACGAACATGCGAGGCTGATACTATAAATTATTGTATCAGGACACACAAACATTACGCCCACGTTGTTGAAATATCGCGATTGATTAATTATTGAACGAATTGATGTCAAAGGTTACAGATTATTGTGAAACAAATAAATATATATATATATATATACGTAATGTCAATGCGACATTTAAAGGTAAAAGCAGATCGTTTAGAAATTTTATTATTGGAGAAACAATAAAATTTTTAGGCATTTTTTGAAATTCTGAACTACAAATTGAAAGAGAAAAGTAGTTTTAATTGCAAAATATTTGATAAATATTTCATTTACACGTTCAAAATAATTATTCAATATTTATATTTCTCTTGCATCGAAAGACAAAAATTAATTAGAATTATTATAATATGTATGAATATATCATTATGTTTAAAGTGACACTTGTTATATATTTATAGTGACACTTTGTTATATTTATATTTATAACCATACTGTATATATATTAATGGTTTATGAGCAAATACTATATATTTATTAATGGTTTATTATATAAAAATATTATTATAATCTGTACTGAATACTAAACTGTATATTATTACAATTAATTGACTAACTGTGTGCTATATATATTATAATTGACTGTTTCAATCCTTCTAGTATTGTACGAACAAACTATAGACTTGTGTTAATTCTATTCTACGCAAACATCTATTTTTTTTTTTTTTTAATTCCTATCTATTTTTAATTCCTAGATCCATTAAAACCTCCGCATCTCTAATTCACATAATTCCAACATTTCCTATACAGTAAGTATAGTATATAATAGTAGTAGTTAATAAAAGAAAAAAAATAAGTATAGCAAGTAATAAAAAATCGTGATGACAGAAGATCACATTTCTTCCAATTGTTCCTACAATTTTAATTAGTATTTCCAATATTACGGCTGTTATTATAGTTAACAAGCCTTTAATGTTTCATCGTTTTATCATCCGTAACGATTTTTACGAATCGAAACATTTAGAATATGACAAATTATCACTTGGTCCTCAATGGGTTGAAAGAGGTAAAACAGCAACACAGTAACCGTAACACCAACCTCGATACTAATCACGACCACATGTACCATATGACTAAACGACAAAACGAGAAAACGTCGCTCCCAATTTCAACGGAGAGCGTGAAACTCGACCAGCAGAACTGCTAACCGCTATCTAAAAGCGGCCATCAGGAAACACCAACACAGAAGTGTTGCCTCTTTTCAACGAAATTATCATTCGCTGTATCTAAAACCACTCTAGCAATCTCGATCGTGAAATCTGACGAGGTAAGCCTCCCTTCTTTTCACCGGCCGCAAAAGGATAGTCCCCCCCCTTTCAAAAAAAAAAAAAAAAAAGGACGATGTCACTTGACCCAAAAACCCAGAAAACAAGGCGAACCAATTACTAATTTTGTGACGCTGTTTCAGGAAACAGGAGGCCTCGAACTCCGACTCGAAGAGCAGACGATGGAGCAAAAGGGCGTTTCAGAGGAGGAGCAGCGAGGTCGAGGTTCGTCTGCGTCGCACCTCGTTGACAGGACCTCAAGGCCACTCGAGCGTCGACGGGCCGAAATCACCAACGCCATCCAGACGTCGTAGCTCCAGCATCGCCGTGGCCAGGCCGACCCCGGACCTGCACAGGTACACTCTCCAATAACTTGCTTGCTTCTGCAAGTTTCGCGGAACTTTCGTTCTATCGAACAGAGGGACGAGAGACCTCGGCAACTCCTCCCGAGATGCGAAATCACGCTTCCTTTGATTCGTCGTCCACCGAATCTCAGAACGAACAGATTCGATGATTGGTTTCGTCACAACTTGTGTGATCTGATTTATTATTCGTTGCACTTGTTGCAAGTTTTTTTTTTTTTTTTTTTTATTTAGGTGCGAGATACACATTTTGATTACACGAAGGGTGTAACTGTACCGATGACGATGGAAAAATTCACCTAAACTTGCGCTGGAGAATTTTGACGCGCGTCGAGAATTTTTTCGTTTTGAAAATTACAACACTCTCGTAGTTTCAAGTGTATTTAGATGTAGTCAATTTCTATCCAGTGATATCGTATCGACGAGTTCGAGAAGAAAGCGACGAATTGTTGTATACGGTTTCGGTCACTCGTTATGGTCCGCAATCAGTCCCCAAATTGCAACATTTTCTCAGTTTCAAGTACATTCAAATGTAAGGGGAAACAAATGATGAGTTTGTTACTTCTCAATAACTTCTATCCAATGTTATCGTGTCGAAAAGTTCAAAAAAGAAGCGACAAATTGTTGTATACAGTTCGGTCACTCGTTATGGTCCGCAATCAGTTCCCAAATTGCAATATTTTCTCAATTTTAAGTATATTCAAATGTAAGGGAAAACAAATGATAAATTTATTACTTCTCAATAACTTCTATCCAGTGATATCATACCGACGAGTTCAGAAAGGAAGTGACAAATTATTGTATACGGTTTCGGTCACTCGTTATGGTCCGCAATCAGTTCCCAAATTGCAACATTTTCTCAATTTTAAGTACATTCAAATGTAAGGGGAAACAAATGATGAGTTTATTACTTCTCAATAACTTCTATCTAGTGATATCGTATCAACGAGTTCGAAAGAAAGAATTGTTGTATACAGTTCGGTCACTCGTTATGGTCCGCAATCAGTTCCCAAATTGCAACATTTTCTCAGTTTTAAATACATTCAAATGTAAGGGGAAACAAATGATGAGTTTATTACTTCTCAATAACTTCTATCCAATGTTATCGTGTCGAAAAGTTCAAAAAAGAAGCGACAAACTGTTGTATACAGTTCGGTCACTCGTTATGGTCCGCAATCAGTTCCCAAGTTGCAACATTTTCTCAGTTTTAAGTACATTCAAATGTAAGGGAAAACAAATGATGAGTTTATTACTTCTCAATAACTTCTATCCAGTGATATCGTATCGACGAGTTCGAGAAGAAAGCGACGAATTGTTGTATACGGTTTCGGTCACTCGTTATGGTCCGCGAACCAGTTGCCAGCGCAAGGGGTTGAAAACGTTCTGTTTTATTTTGAGAGTGTGCACTGATCCGCTGAATTATTTCTGAGCGATTAGACGAATATACTCGACGAAAGCACGGTAAATGCACTTGCTATAATATTGAGTTAAATTATAACAAAATGATACATTTTTTTTATGTTTCTTCGAAAAAATTTTAATTTTACTGATTTTGTTTTATTTTATCCTGTTTTTTTTTTATTCTAAGATGTGCTAAAATTACAAGTATATATAATTTTCTTACCTAAATTTTACAATAAACAGCGAAAGCGAATTTTAAACAAAGAGACTTTTTACTTTTGATTTGAGGACGATTTTTTAATAAAACCAAGTCACGGAGTAGAGGAAAGTATCTGTATCTTTTTCTCGAACATTGCGAAGACTCAAGAATTCATCGTGTCTTGCAATTTTCTCTTGAAACTCGCTGTGCGATTCTTTCTCTCGTCATTTCATTGAACTTGGAACACCGGGATTTCTCGAATGTTTGTCGTCTAATCCCGACGAATTCGAAAGTTCGACAAAATGCCGAGGAAACGTCCCACGAGCGAATTCTAAGGGCTCGTTGCAAAGAAGAAAACTTTGCTCTTCAAAATGATGATAGATCTGCTCCGCGAAGAAGATTTCTTCAATATTTCTAGAGACGACAATATTTCTGAATTTCGACGTATCCTTATTTTTTCACTTTCTCGTTGCACTATGTAAAATCACGTTTTGGGAAAGAAAGAAAGCGAGCTTCTATTGCTTTAAAATCAGACCAAAATAAGTGAATGGTTATGCGATTTTCTTCGACAATTAACAAGTTACAACGATTTCAATTGTCTCACTTGACTTTTCATCGTTGTTGGTTCAGTTACGTCAGTGTTGTATAATATATATTAATGATACATCTCGCCAAATACGTCTACGTGGAGGCGTTTCCGAGATCTCAAGGTCAGCTCCACTCTTTCTTAAATCACATATCTTTCCTTTACATACTGATCGATACAACTCTCCACAAAACAGTTTACGAAACTGCTGAAATTCATTTATCGACGCGTGTTAGTTCAGGAAACGTGGAGACTTTAATTTTCGCGAAAAAAAGAAAAAAAAAGGAACGAGAGAAACGAGCAAAGAGACGAACGATGCTCTTGTATTTATATCGCAGTAGACAATTTTATAAAATTCAAATTAAAACGTCCCCTCGTACGTTTCATTCGCGACAGCGGTGTACATTACGGGGCAGGAAGATGAATAAATAAAAATCGAATCCGAATGGGAAATTTTTCTAAATTAAATCGATTCCCTGGAGGTTTTAATATCCGCCGCCGATACACAGGTATATGTTTAATAAAAAGAGCCGGGATATCGCTGGGTAAATAAATTACCGAGTTTTAAAATATAATCCCCGGCCGAAAGATTAACAGCGTGTACGGAATTTTGAGTTTTAGATCGAAGTCGAGTAAATATTATTGGCGAGCGTGGGACGAAATGGTCATTTGGTGATCATTTTTGTCGACGAAGGCCTCGAAAATTGGAACATTTACAATTTGAAATTTCGCCTTGTTCCAGTTTGGAAATCGTTTCAAAACGAAAGTGAGAATTAAAAGTCACCGGCTGCTACGAATAAATAATATTTGATATTAATTTGACGATAATTATGTGATGCAGTGTTACAGTAAGCAAACGATGACACGTGCAATTGTATTTTACTTGTTATTATTTTAAACGACTCATTCATTCGTTTATTCTACTTGAAAGTTTTATTATTTGAATTTGTAAAAAATTCAGAATTGTTTCAATCAATTCGAATTATTTTGTTGCAATTTGAACGATACTTTGAGCATAATTATACATTGTGTCTTCACATAAATCTTTGACAATTTCTCAGTCCCAATTTGTTCAAATAAAATACACAATTTCAATTCAATAATAATAGATATAAGTCCAAGGAAATACTGTCAACACATTGTTCGTTCAAATATTATTAAAGACTAATTAACGAGCCGAAACAGTAGAGTTAGATAACTCGTATCGTATGTTGTTTATTTCAATTGATCTCACATGTGAAGGTATAACGAATAATTATTTGTTTACGTTTTAGAGAACGTATTCCAAGTAATTCATTTTCGTTTCTTCTTTAAAGGAAAATAGTCGGGCCTTTTTTACACCACAGTATCATGCAGTTAAGTTTCTGTAATCTAAATACCTCCCCCCTCCCCCTGCGTAATTTTGTTTTTGATCTGAACTTTTTACGCGACAGTGCCTTTGCAATCGTTCGTGTAATTACTTTCTTAATTAGCTTCGGACGGAATTTTAAATTATTCCAATGCTGAATGTGATCTCTCCACTCGCTTGTACAGATGAAAATTTTGACTCTGCCCGATGAAATATTAATTCACAATTAACTGTCCCGTGAAAAGTTCACGAGTGACATGAATATAAAAAAAACAGTCCTCCTCCTCCTCGAATTCTTATCTCATTGTCCAACATTCCCATTTATTTTCACAATACTGGTGCAGAGTGTAATGTAGCTGCAAAATCGAACAATTTGTCTTTCAATGGTGTAATGGAAAATTAATTGAATTGTTTTTCATATTATGCGAAATTTTTTTTCATAGTTTTATATATTTTATTATATTTTTATATATATTTATATATTTGTATTTATATTTTTATATATATGTTATATATTTTATTATATATTTATATTTATATTTTCATATATATAAATATAAAATTGTTAAAATGTTATATAAATATAAAATTTATATAAAATATAAAATATAAATATAAATATAAAATTTATATAAAATATAAAATATAAATATAAATATAAAATTTATATAAAATATAAAATATAAATATAAATATAAAATTTATATAAAATATAAAATATAAATATAAA